TTTGAAGGGGAGAAGAAGACAAGAACACAAGGGAGCCTTGCACAGAGTGTTCGAAGGCTCCATATTACACGTGGCTAAAAGAGTGGGCTACAAACGAAAGAGTGGCTCGGGTGGCTAGGTGACGGCCCAGGTTCAGAGGAGAGTGGGGCCCACATACGGATGAACCTATGGGTGTGCGGATCACATTCCTATGTACCCTGGACGCCAGATTCGGACCAGCAGACTTGAAGACGGCCAGCCACTGTGTTGCCAACAGCCGGCTGAAAACCCTCCGCTTTCTCTAAAACGCCATCGAAAAATATTGGCGATAAGACGGTAAAGAGAGATAGCGTTGCCATATTCTGGACCATTGAAAGGAGGCTAAAGATGAGGTAGACGCATGCTAATCCTGAGCCAGAACGATCCTGAGCTAGAATGATCTTAGATACAATTCTATACTAGAACGACTCCAAACAATAGAACGATGGTAGGACAAAATAATCCTGAGCTAGACTGACCATTCCGATATACTTTCCTTAAGTCAATCTCTTCACCTTGGAAACATGGTGAGATACGCTGAGGCTTGAGGATATTAACGTATATCCCCTATAATTTCAAAAGTAAGATACCCAAAATCTTTTCTCTGAGCCCAGTAGAAACGAACACCCTGGGGTGCGAGTAACCCGTTGCCAAGGGTGAGATTCGCCAAAAAAGTTTTCGCCAATCAAAGTATAGGAACAAGTGGGTTTTATTGGTTAGCGTTCTCAGTCCGTTTCAAACGGAAGGGGACCGTTAGCAACTCGGGAGCTGGTGGTTCTGTTTTCTGCCTCTCATACGTGATCAAATGTGCACTTCTCTGCCCTTGCCACTCTTTCGCGTAAGAAGACATATCGCCTGACTAGTAGTTGGGTCGGTGACGACCAGCGAATCCCAGGTGCTGTATGTCTTTTCGACTTTTTTTTTGAATTTTTGGTGTCCATTTCCTTCTAATGGATGGGATGGTCTTTCCTCTTCTTTTGTTTTGGTGCATCTTTCATTTCCTGATGAACATGGTCCAGGAAAAGGTCGTGGAGGGACAGCTGTTGAGGGGTCGTGGTAAACTTGTTCACTCCTACCATTTTGGAGTAATTCAGGATCCTTACCCGCAATTACAGGCTTACACTGTTCATATTGGAAAGTGCGAACGAGGTTCTACAGTTGGTCATATAGTTTATAAGTGACGATTCTGTCCGATCTTGTCTTTATGATATTCATTACACGTTCGTGGTATAAAAAGAGAGACGAGCCCCAACGCCCAGCCTGATATGACATGACATGACATGACATAATGAAATGCGAGAGAAAAGAAAGCCGAGGTTTCTTTTAAGAAGATATAGAGACCATAAATGATGGTTGATAGACAAAATAGCAAACCATGGGGAGACATATCATCCCAATCCAATACAATGTTTCCCAAACACACACTAATAACCTTTCCCATATACGTTTCGTTCACCTACCCTACCGGCCGCTCAGTCGCTCGCTTGCTCGCTCGCCAGCCCAAAACAAAAACAGACACAGGTCCTATCCAACTTGCCCTTTCCTTTTTTTTACAGTCTTCCATACTCCCACTACTACTGCTCATCCCACACTACCTCATCAACCGCGTACTCCTATAGACCAACTTGGAGAGGTCTATGGGCTCTGAATCTGCTGATGGGTCGACCGCAGCAATTATCCCATCGTTTGCACCATTGGCATCCACATCCTCCAGACCCTCATCAACCTCAATCTTGGCATCACCCTTGACACTCCCGCTCACTGTGCTCCCCTCGGACTCCGTCGCCGGCGCCGTCCTCTTGACTCCCTTTTCCACCACCGTCACCACCACGCCATCCTTGGCCGCCTCCTTCACGGAGCTCCTTGTGCTCTTCATGCTCGTCACCCTTCTCATGCTCTGGGGTCTGTAGCTCCTCGCTCCCATGCCCATAGGAATAGCGCTCGCGCCTGCGGTTGCTACCCTGGGCAACGATCCGGCCGCGCCACCGGCACCCGGCTCGCCAGAACCATCTCCACTGAGATCTTCACGCCTGACACGCTCCATCTCCTTGGAAGCCAGGTCCTTGGTCTGGGACAGACGCGTCTTGATCTTGGTGACTTCCTCGCCACAGTCGCCGTCACGAAGGAATTGATGGGCGGCATGCTCGCACATAGACTGAACGAACTCAAGGCCCCTATCGAGCTCATCGTAGACATCCGGCCCGGCACCATGAGGCTGTTGGGACGCACCGGCACGGCCCATAGCCGCGCTCATGCGAATATTGGCCAAGGGGTTGGCGCGTACTCCACCACCTTGGGCCAGCATGCGGGCTTGGTCGCGCGCGCGACGGGCACTTAGCATTGCTTGGACTGCTTCGATATTCGTGGCCGGAGCGGCGCCCGACGCATCCATGTTGTCTACTGCCCTAGTGTCGGGCACCAGTTCCCCGGTCGCGGCATCTCCGCCATCATCATCATCGTCTGGCGGCGAGTTCATCTCGGCTAACCTCTTGATCTGTGCAACCTTGGCTGCCATTTTGGCCTTGCGCATCATGTTCCTGCTAGCGCTCACAAACTTGACCAGCTCTTCGAAAAAGCTCTGAACATAGCTGTCGTAGTAGACAATGATCATGCTCCGGCTGCGGTACTTGGGTGGTTTATCGGCGTTCTCAGCGCTCATGACCGAGTCAGTTCGTTGGCGCTTGCGTAGGGTAGCGCGGGCCTTAGCCTGGCCTGCTGCACGGACTTGTGATGTTGTTCGCTGCAGGGCACCAGGGGAACCTGGCGTCTGTGGGCTGGTTGGTCGTTTATCCGTTGGCTCTTCCTCCTGGTAGTTGGGATGGGCGGATGGCTCGTCTTTTGGCCTCAGACTTTCGGTTGACCCCTTGTTCCTCAAAGACTTCCGTGACGGGGATCCTGGCTCTCTACCGGGCGATGATGGTTTGGTCTCGGCAATCTGGGCCAACTCCTGCTGGCGCTGTTCGATTTGGACGTTGAGCTCATCTAGGCGATGCAGCCAGTCGGGTATACCGAACTCTAGGTTTCTGAGGGCCTCCATGGCGGTGTCGTCCTCCTCGGATGAGGCAGGGCTGATAACGGTTCTCTCTTCAACAGTTTCGGGCACTTGTCCTTCCGCGGCCGCTGGCGCGGGGCTTTCCTGTGGGAAAGCCGTGGTTGCGACTTTGTTCTGGAACACCGGGTGGTTTGCTTTGGATGGGCGTGGTTGAAGGTGCGCCCGGGAATCCCGCGGATCAACCTCAATCTGATAAATTCTTCTTGTTTGGAGGTACGAAGCAGTAACGGACGTAGAAGCGTGAGCGGTTTAAAGTGTAGGTCGGTGCGGCGTGAAAGGGTTGAGAAGCTGGAGAGATGTTTTGTATGTCGTTGGCCGTCTCGGTCTGTATATACGAGCCGTTGGGGTTTGGGTGAATGGACGGATAAACGGGAGGGCGGGTGGATATAGATAAGACTGCCGGACGCTACGGAGGGGGAGAGTTTGGACGGTTTGGTTGCACTGCAGCTGAGGAGCAGGAAGTCCAGTCAATTGGTTCGCTCAGAGTGTCAGATGTTGACGAGGAAGTGTGACCAACAACAAAGACGTTGTGGGATGGTGGTTTGTATTGGAATGGCGTGCAACGGAAAAGAAGCAGTGTCGATGTCCAAGAGCAAGTGCAACGAAGTGTGCAAGTGGGAGAAAAGGGCGAGAGGTCGGAATCAGCTGCAGAAATGGCAGTTGAGCGGTCCGGGGGGGTGCGCTGTTGACTGACTGCTGACGGCTGACGGGGAGTGACGGGGAGGGGAAGAGACCCGGAGAAGCTAACAGCGGTCGGCCTGGTATAGGGGTCACTACCGGAGTCGCCCAAAGTGCGTGACCTCTGAGCCGATCTCCTAGCGTCAGGTGTCGGGTCGAGTCTAGACGGGAGTCTTTGTCACCACAAGTCAAGTCTAGATTGAGGAATCTGGACGGGACAAGAGGTTGAGGAGTTGAGAAGGAAGAGTGAAGAATGGAAAGGGTGAGGTGACAGAGAGAGGGGAAAAAGAAACAGGAAGAGAGAGATGCAAAATGTCGAGAAAGACAAGATGGAAGGAACAAAGATCGGATGAATCTGTTCCACTCCCGTCTTGCACCACTGCGCTGCACAGCACAGCACTTCTTCCCTTTGGGCAGTCACTGGTCGCCGGTTGGGTAGAGGTAACCACGATGGGGCCTGGGGGACCTGCCTGCATTGCCTGCCCTGCTGGGGACGGGAAGCTGTTCTGTTAGGTGGCGGTGTCCGCGTGGGAGATTGTGCGCGCGAGAAGGTCGGGCGGAAGGTGGGATATGCGCCAGACTGCAGCAAAGCAGTAGGTAACAATGCAGCAGCAATGCAGCGACAATGCAGCGACAGTGCAGCAACGGAACACAATCCTCGACAATGCAGCCTCAGGTGGCATTGAACGCCAGTTGCCAGCGGCCAAGACTCTGCTAACGCTCTCTTTATCCTCAACAGGGCTAGCCGCCTTTCAAAACCTTCAACCCAGGAGACCAACTAAGCCAGGGCCGCCTGTTATGGGGCACAGGGGGTTGCATAACCCATCGAGCCCATCGGTCCACCCCTTCCTCTCTTTGCACGCTTGCCTAACTCTTTTTCCTTCCCGCCCGTCTCCAAGAGTTTCCGTTGTTGCCTGGTCCTTGTCAAAGTTAACGGTTCAACAGTTCGTCTTGAGAGCCTCAGCTCTCTCTCTCTGTCTATCAAAGAGTCTCGATGTCGGCTTCAGATAGCCAAGCTATGGGATGTTATGGAACTGCCCCCCGTATAATACCCGGCGTGTCATAACAGCGTTCCCACCTCGGTCTCAGTTTTCTGTCCGATTTGTTTCTAGTGAAAAGAGGCAGGCGTGGCAGGTACCACAAACTGTCAACAGGTGCCGAGGCATCCACTGATCAAGGAACCACTTTTCGCGATGTGGTCTGTGTGTGGTCTGTGACACCTTTCAATTTTCATGATACATTCACGCCGGGCCGGTATGGGACAGGAAAGATACGGACGGGGTAAGGGTACATCTCACGGGACATGCCAAAATCAAATTACTGTCCACATCCACGAGGTCCAGAAACACCAAAGAAATAGAGGCGAAGTAGCCGAAACGCGGAGGCTCTGTGCGGCCTGGTCAAGCGGAAAGTGGTAATTGATGACATGATCGGCCGACCAAACTGATCAACTTTCGGATGTGTCGCCGACACTCGAGCGTAGCCAGTCAAGTTAGCAGCGAGGCCCTGTCAAAGTGAGGAGGAGAACCGCAGTCAAGTGTTGATCCTCTCCTCACTCTTTGACAAAAGAGGGGCGAGAGACGGGACAGATATGGGATGAGGAGTTTTGGGTTTGCGGGTAAGGGTACGGTGGAATGACGGATCATAACCCTTCGAGGTTTGAGCCCCAGCCCTGTCAGTCAGCGGAAAAGCTTCAGTGACAAGATGTCCATTTGCGATGAATGAGCTGTCTGCAATCTGCATTTTTCCAATGCAGAACATTGATTGGCGGATGAATGAGGTGATGTGAGAGCGGAAGCGGCGCACAGCGCAAAAAGGGGGGGTGGGTTAGGTTGGGACGAAAGTTAGGGGGAAAGGGGAATTGATGGCTGCGGGCGGACGGGAGTGAGAAAATTGAAAGGATGAGATGAGATGACGGGGGACTGGTTCGGACGAAACAGAACTCTCAAAAAAGACAACCCGAGTCAACAGGTCAGAACAGCGTAGGTATATAGAAAACAACACTTTCTCGTGGCCTTTGATGTTCTTACGGAGATGCGTAGTTGTTTATCATGAAATCTGGCAATAACCGCCGGCAGCAAAAACGGAAACAAAAAAGTCCTTTGCTGCTGTCTTTTTCTCTCTTTGTTTTTCCCTTCACTAGCTGCACGTCGACTTCTCGCGTCTTGCATCAGAACAGATCGAAGATATCCCATCGTCCCCTGCGTCTGGACCGCGAGTGGAAGAGGCACACACATTTTTCGCTCCTGGCCGGCCCGGCTAAGCTGGCCGCATGAATCCTCGGACGATCTAATGCCATGTTGAATAATTCAATTATACGAGTCCGAAACCTCGTTAGCAAAAGACCCGGTTAGACCTGTCAGACATGTTGTTCCTTTTGCGAGAGTCCGACACCGAGTGACACGTGAAATGCAGCCTCGCATATTCAATAAAACCACCACCCAACCCCCGTCCACCTGCTTGTCGATCACAACTTCGGCGTGATGAAAAAGCGGTATAGGCTGATCGTCTGCCCCTCTCTTCTCTTCGCCGAGCCGTACCGTGCTGCGTTCCTTCTAACGTCGTTCGGACGTTGGGGGGCCTTTCTGTAAAGAACGCCGTAATTCTCCCGTCATTCATTCATTCTCGCGCTCTGCTGCTTGTGGCTTCTTCTGCAGAGATATTCGCAACGGACAACGGACCTGGGTGAGAGCTCCATAGTGGAGGAAATCTCCTCCTTCCTTCTCCTCCTCCTCCGGCCCACAAACACAACTGAAGCTCATGATCATGATCTTCTCCACTTTGGATCGATGTCCGAATTGTGAATTTTGTTGATCGCTTGCATGTGTTTGTTCGCTGTGTTGTCTGGAACGCAACTGAACGAGCAACGAGGTTGCATTGAAATCGTATTTACGGCTTGGCGAAGTGGGTTTTCTTTTCAAGCAGTGTTCCTTCCCGCCTGCCCATCCTCTTTTTGTTCCTAGCTTCCTTTCCTATCAGTGAGTTCGAACCTAGTTCTCACCCTCTTTTTTTCGTAGTTCTTTCCCTCCTCCCCGTCCCCTTCCTTCCTTCCGTGACTTTCATATGATCCTCGAATCCATGACCTTGACAAGCGGAAGGTCCGAGTCAAGCCAAGACGGCTTCCGCACGCTTTCGCTGTCCACTTCCAACGCTTGTGCGCCCATTTCGATATTTTTGTGTGTTCAGGTGTGCTGACGCTGCTGACGCTGACACTTGATTGACCCTCAACGGCTTCGGCCCGCTCGCACGCTCGGCGGCACGGCGACGGGCTGGTTGGGGGTGGCTGGGCGGAAGTTTCATCCCTATACGGTAGTATCCGTCTTTAGCGGACCTCCTTTTCTTTCTTTCTTTCCATCCTTCTCGGTCATTTCATTTCACCTTCTCATGAACCTCCTCACGGGCCTCTTTTACGGACCTGAAGAGTTCAATCGGGCATCTTGCCCGTGGTGCGAAATTGTGTCTTCGGTCTTCAATGGACGAGTTAGGAACCGGTGTCCTGTACATATAGTATAACATTTCCACTCCTGTCATTACGCTTACCGAAACATCACCGTGATTGATCCATCCCATCCGCCTTTCCATTCATGAAAAGCGGGCGGCTGGGAAGAATTTGTTAGGAAATAGTATCGCATTCGCCCAGCCAAACCAAAAGTTTGTGCAGCAACAGCACTGGCAGCACGAAGAAATTTTGCTTGCTCCGTGACCAACAAAATCCTTCCCAGAGAAAGAAAGCGTCGCATTCCAGAGAACAGCGGATTGTACATAAACCGAACTGCTTGCCCGCAAAGCATCTCTTCGCGAGCGAGAGAAGGAAGCTCGGATGCAAAGAGGTTACAGTGTCAATGGGGACAATCGGGATCCCGTAAACCACTCACGGAAGGTTTAAGCTCCAAGGGGGGAGGAGGGAAAGAGAAACTAGCGGTCTCCATACTGTACCTGGTTGGCGCGAACCTTCCATTCGATGATACTCAGTCTGGCAGACTGTGGAAATGTGAAAGAGTTCGGTCCAGAGGATCATCGTGGTGTGGAAATATTCTCTCGACTCGACTCGACTCGTCTATCACTTTGTTTTCCTGACTTTTGTTCCTGTGTCAACTTCTTTGGATTTCTCAATTTCTCTTCAGTGGGTGGGCTCTGAATGGCTATGCCTACGACAGTATGTGACACGTAATTCCTCGGTCTTGACCTGACACAAATGTGAATCACAACCCAGCTTTCCAGTGTGTACCCATTTACAACCACTCGGGTGACACATACAAAACATGACTCATACATACTGCGTACTCACGATTGATGTGGCCTTCTTCGCTTTTTTTTTTCTCACTATTTTCGCTATTTCTTTTTTTCGACCGTTGGTTGGTTCGTAAATGGACAAATGATGGAAGCCCATTTATCTTAACTGTCGCAACGTCGAACGTCCCGTCCGTGTGTCAATCTAGGATTGGCGTTACACACACAATATTCAAAGCAGCATGTGCAAGCAACCAAAGACGGACGGACGCAGTGGTAGGGTAGCTTCCTTGTAGGTAGCGACGAGGATAACGACGACTGCAACACACAACAAGCCACAAAGTGCGGGAATGGAGGCGGGACGAAGCGGTGGACTTTTTTTTTTTTTTTGATGATGATGATGATGATCATGATGATGATGAGGAGGAAAACGATGCTGCTGTTCGTGTGTGTTCGTTAATTGATTGATGCATGGAGGGCATTACATATTTGTGTTCATGGAGACCTACATACCTCTACGATATTAGACTTTCTCGCTCTGGTGAAAGATAGTTCGATAGAGATAAACCTCTCCGAGTGTCTCGTCTCGGATAACAGCACGCCCACCAAAGAGACCACGGATAAGATCATCCACTGCTACTTCACACACTATTATATGCGCCATGGCGGCCTTCCATGACAGAGATACAGTACAGTACAGCATCGCCATCACTATAGCCGTGTCAGGTCGCATTGCATTTTGCACTCTCGGTTGTATGGTAGCCATCCGCTCGGCAGTGTAGGCAACCTTTGTTGAGGTTGTCTTCACGATGCGAGGTTCTTCCTTCGTTCTCGTCAAGATCCGAGTACGCCGCCAGCTTCTGTGGTCAACAACCTGCAAGGTCCAGGTGCAGTATCATCCATCAACGTGATATCTGACCGGCTTTTACATACCAATTTCAAAGCATTATAAACCCTCGAGAGTCAGAAGATTGATGGAGCATAAGAGCTGGTATTCCGTGTCGACTGTTCGGCGGCGTTTGTTCGGTCCCGTAGACCGAATACCAGAGTACAGGCTCGGATTGGGACAACAACTGTGGTTGGAATGTCTCCGAGCGAACCAGACGGTAGACATGATGCCTGACAGTCTTTGGAACATAAGAGGCCGGCGAGGAGTCTTGGGTTTGGTGCATAGAGGTAGCGTAAAAGCCACATGCAATGGGCTTGGCATTGATACCTCTCTACCTCTCCTTGTCAAGAAGTGACGACGAACGGGGTGGCTGGCTTGCCTTGTGACGGACGGACCGGGTTAGCGATGGCCAACGACGGAAGGGCGGCCGGCGGTTTGCGATTTCGATTTTGTGAATGAGAAGTGAAGAACCCACACCCACAAGATGATATGTATCTCGAGAATCATAAGCCGAACATGGCGATACAAAATTCTTACTTGCTTTTACTCCCAGCTCTTCCCATCTCTTTCTTGCCTGGAGCTCTCGACAGATTCGAAAAGAGAGATGCCATCACCAGAGAGAGATATGCGTCTACGGATATACAGCATAGGGCAGTTATTAATTGGCAAGCCGCAAGCCGACCGACATCAAGATTTTCTTGTCTTCCCTTGTCCCGGGATCCGAGTGCACGCTACTCTCTTTGTATTCATGACAATGGTACCTATGTAAAGCCGGACACACAAAACTCGGTCACAATTTTATTGCATTACTGATGTCCACTGGTCTGATCGTTCCATCTGGTCGAGTTCGTATTGCAGCGGGATAAAGGTCCATGCCCTGGCCTGGCGGTTAGTCTTCCCATGGCAGGCTTGCTGACAGTGTTTGAAGCTTGTCGTTGCCATGGTACTAACCAGAAAATCGAATCGTCCCGTGGTTTGTCCTATATGTCCGTGATCCGAGGATTCTGGTAAGTCCAGCTGCCCTCGTCTATAACGCTGTACGGCGTACAGCCTCTCCGGCTCTACCGGTGTCTGTTAGGCAATACCGGATACTCATCATAACGCCGGATACTGATGATAACACCGAAGCAAGATCTGTTTTGGCAAAATGAAGAGGCAGGTGGTTAGTTGGATGTAGTAATGTGAACACATCTTGGTACCCATCATTGTCGTACTTCCAACTTGGTAAAGAACCGAACACCCATCAACCCAATCTTTCGGTAGGTAGGCTTGTGGAAGCGGCCGAGCGCTCATGAAATGAAACTCGGCTCGTACCAGCCACCCATAGAATTCCAACACGCTGAGATTGTACACGTTGTGTAAAAGTCAACTGTTTGTTTTCTTGGAATGTAAAGCCATGATGATCCCAATATCTAGGTAGTTTGAATGATAGTGGTGTTGATAAACTTCCAGTCAGCACAACGGACAAACCCGCCCGTCAGCCACAACCGAACGTTGTTTCTCGATCTCAACACCGTTGCAAATCCTAATGCCCTCGTGTGTGTACAGGCGTAGTTCCTTGCAGCTGCCATGATACCTATCATGTTACACGAACCACAACGCATCAGATCCTTATCCTTTGGAGTGCCGCATTCCTTATGATGTCGTAACGACTGAATGGACCTTAGGGTTTAGCATCAGGTCCAATCATGGCGGATGCCGACTATATCAATGTTCTTGTGAATCAGAGGTGTTAACTGTTCGTCGACGTCAACCCTGAATATTCAACTTAGATAGACCACACCGAGGAGAAGCTCTCGGCTGTGGAAGAAAAGACATGCCCTATGCAATTTGAAAGTCCAGTCCACGCCAAGAATGAAGGCCCGCAGACGAGCATAAAACATAATTTTCACTCTAGCATTCATACAGTGGTACCGATATTAATCGGCAACCTGGATTTGTGTTATAGCCCGGCACGGTTCGACTCCTCTCTGTGGTCACCTGACAAGATACCTAGCAACCATTCCAGCCATTCGCAAGTTTGCTACGACTGATTGACGACCCAAAGTCTGGCGTGATATCGTAGCGGTGATAACTCCTACTCGTTTTTGTTTGTTATGTTTGTGCGTCTCTCTGATCCGATCTGTTTTGCTGGGGACAAATTGTCCACAAGGATCGATCCAACGAACAGTCTGACACTTGTTCCCATCCCATACGCACTGCAACTATCTGCCTTTTCGAACTCTCCAGCGGTTGGAACGAGACCACCGATGCTCCACGCAAATCACTTTGAAAATGTCACAATAGGCAGGTGAGCTTTAGTGTTTTCGGGGAAAACAACCTTGGTCTCTTCGGTGGACCTTCCGTCCTTGATCACTGTTTTTTTTTTCGCAATTCCAACTTTCAGATGACCAACCAAAGGATCATTGCCTGTGCAGATGGAGGTTGTGTGTACACCTGCCTGAATCTTTGGTGGAATGTTTAGTTGATCTGGCGGAATGACAGATCAACAGCAACAAAACTGACGGCTCGTTTTGTGCTAGACACAAATGTCAACGGATGCATCTGGATGGAGCAGCGGAAACGGGTTTCTCGATCGTGGTTGGTTGGAATCTCAAAAAGTGCAAATCATCATTGGCGCGGACTTTTCTCCTTCCTTACTGCCTACATCATGCGAAAGAGGCGGTCTAGCTGCCCAGCTCGAGAGCCTCAACAAGCGATTTCACAGACCCCTTTTCAGCCTTACCCCAATCAACGCTCTTCAGCTTCTGTGCTGCTGGGTCATTGAGGCTGGTCGAGGTTAGTCCCCAGAGTTCGTCGACAACAAAGCTCCTGATACGTGGCCATGGGTGCATCATGAGGGCGCCGAGTCTCTTACGAGCGTCCGTAATACCCTCTTGTTTCTTCTGTTCATTTGTACCATCCAGAGATGCCTGATCAGAGCCGCGGGACCGACCGAGCTCAGCGACAGCACCGTAGACCCTGATGCAGGCCTCGATCTTGCGGATGTTGCCCGTCTTGTAGCAAGCTTTCTGGACCTGCAAGCATAAGCTCTTGTAGTTGATCTTGTCACATGTCTCGAAGATGCCCACATGGAGCAGGAAAGCGGTGACCTCCAATGTTGGAACTAGCACCCGGTCCTGGCCTTGCCTGCTTTTGAGATTGCGGACAAGTGCAGTGCACACGGCGTCCGTCTTTTCCTTTGACTGCTGGCAAAACCCGCACAGGGCAGCTCTGGTTGCGATGACAAGCTCTTCGTTTCCGGTGTCGGCGGATGAGACAAGTCCTGCCAGGAGCTCTTCCATCCAGGTATCTGGATCAGCTTTAAGAGTATCTGCTATGGCGGGTTGTAACACGTCTTCGAATAGCAAGTTCAGCAAGAAGCCAAAGTAAACCCTTGAAGAGAACGTCGATTCGCGAACCCGAGAAGAGTAACTGGAAGTTGTCAGCACCTTTGTGTAAGAACGTTGGGGAATTACATTTGTACTCACTTCGGATTCAAAACCAAAGCCAAGGCCGTCTGCGCTTCAGCTCTTACTTTGTCCAACTTCTCAGCTGCTAGACGCAGAATGCGCAAAAACAAGCCCGAAACAACCCGGGAAGCCTCATCTGTAGGAAGCTGATCCAATCTCTCCCAGAGGAACTTTGTTGCCTTGATAGCCTGTAAGCGGACCAGGGACCCGACGTCACCCCGTGCATTGGTAGTATAGTCATCCAGGCCAGCGGTGATGAGCTCGAGAAATGTGTCGATGTTTTCTCGTAGAATATCACTCTGAGTGAGACTGGAGAGGATGGAAACTCTGGTCTCAATATCATTATCACTCCTCCAACGATCAACGAAAGCGCTGCACATTAAGCTTCTGTCTTGCTCAGCGACCTTCAAAGTCGCAAGTACGGAGTACGACATGGCGAGCGCAGCGAAATATCCTGAGGCGGTAGTTGCTCGCCCAGATGGACGATGCCGGACAGCATCAGCCCATTCACGGACCACGTTCTCACGCTCAGCATCCTCACAGAATATGAGAAGGACGAGCGCGGCTTCGGAAGCTACACATATGATCTCTTGCTCTGGACGAACAAGCCATTTTGCCAGGTTAGCTTTGGCAAGTCCTGCAATCCTTTTGACCTGTTCAGGTCTAGGTGTCATCTTCGTTATCAGGCTGGAGATCTCAGTGCCACTCTTTGCGAAGAGGGCTCGTCCAGGCAGGAGTGTTGTCTCGGCTGTTTTTGACATAGCGCCATTGCTGGTCAGTACAGATGACTGCAATACCGGGAAAGAGGAGATAATCAAAGAGCTCGCTCCTTCGGCGATCAATTCAGGTTTCCGGTATGTTTTGCTGTCTGCGTCGGTAAGAATTTCTGTTAACCCCGCAAGCGAGTTGGAAACGAAGTTTGATTTGGAGTCGTGGGAAGTGGTGCTTCCTGTGTCTTCAGGCGCACTTGCAATTTTCGGAAAGGCATCGAGCAATGATGCGAAGCTCATGAGCAGCCCATGTCTTTCCTCCACTTGCCGTACTTGCAGTGACTTGACCCGGTCAAGGACCATAGCCATTAAGTACGTAAGCCTTGCAGCTGAATCAGGGACGCCCAGGGCAAGCTCTGAAGCAATGGTGCCAAAGGACGCTCCTGCTGCTCGTCTTGCCATGGCGTCGAAATCACCAATACCTCTCCAGCCAAGGAGAGCGTGCAGAATAGCCTCGCCATACTGGCTCGATAATCTCGTGACATTCAGGGCAACGTCCTGGAGTGCCCTGGATCTCCGAGCTACAGCATGGTAGTCGACTGTTTGGACCACCCAAATTCCCTTCTCAACTGTATCAGGATGGCGGCCAATCAACTCCTGCAAGGCGGCAGACGAACCGCGTCTGATGTTTCCTGAAGGGTCCAGGCAGGCAGCCACGACGAGTTCCGTAGCCAGAATCTGGAGCATCGAGGCTCGTTGGCTGTAGAATCTGGTGGATACCGTAGAGCTGGTGGGGACTGCAAGCAGTTCCTTTGTACTATATCTACGTGCGAGTGCCCATATGCCGAAGCACGCCGCATCTCGAACGTTGGTGCCGATAGATCCGCCAGAAGTTCCTCGCCTTTCAAATGCAAGTCCGGTCAAGAGGGCATTGATAATGCCATCTAGATTCTCTGCAGGGGGTGAGCGTCGGTAAAGAAGGTGGGATAGGGTTAGCATCAGCCCATGCCACTCGAGAGGATCAACGGCGCCAATGTCCATGACTGGCGGCGCGTTTATATCCTTGGGATGCTTTACCCACAGGACATTCTTGTTCAGCGAGTCAATCACAGCTTCGACAACTTCTGAGGCCATGTCAGGATCAAGCTTCAAGGTGATGACACTGAGAGCTTTGCTGGCAGCGAACCGGACTGGCGTATCATTGTCTGCTAGGTTTTCGAGTAGGAAACCAATGGTAGTTTCGATGATATCCATACTCGGCATATCTTGACTAGACATGCGCAATATCGAAACCGCGATTGACCGAATGACCTTGATCATCGTCTTGCGAGCCAGGGCCGATGACATAACTGACCCGGCAGCATTCTGATCGGTGGCAGCCCCATGGACCTCTTGAAACAAAGTCAGCAGATACTTGTCCATGTCGGAGGTGTCGATTGACGAAACGAGAACACCGGACAAGAAGGAGAGAACGCCAATGTAATGGTACGGTGTTCTCTGAAGTCCCGCTTGAGGGCGAAGAGCAGAGATGGCCCAGTTTACCAAGGCATCTAACACGCCCAGTTGTTGCATATCTCTGCGCATGGAAATACGGACCAAGAGGGCTTTTGCGGCATCTCGCTCCTTGCCCGGGAAGCAAGATACTTGATGGCCAGAGGTAGGATCCGAGTGGTTATACTGGGAAGACCTTGAGGCCACTGGAAACCAGGAATAGGCACGAGATCATCCTGCTCGACATCGGTTGATGAGATGGTGGCCAGGTCAAATGGGGCAAGCATAAGATGTGAAAGCCACAACAAGACAATGTACCTCTCCTCCCAAGTCCACTGCGGGCCGGTACCAGCGGTGGTGGTGCTGGAATCAGCGGAAGAGGGCTTTGCGTCTCGATGTCTTTCCGACTCCTCGAGAGCCGAGAGGACAAGCTCCAGGTACTTTGTCTCGTTGTTGAGAAAGCGGACAATGACCTTTTCACCGCGAATCTTGCAGAAAGTGTACAAGATCTTGCAAATGGCCCTCGGCAACGGGGTCAACAGATCCGATCGGGTTGAGAGCAACTTGTTCCGGTAACGAGACTGCTGATACTCGAGAAAGTTCTCGGCAAGAATGGGGAGCCATTTGGGCAAGTAGGGGTCCAGAAGCTGTGGAAGTTCTTGGAAAGGATCAAGGAGCTGTGCATCTCATTAGTCCCAGCTGTCCATCGCATGTGGCTTTGAAGACACTTACTCCGGCAATAATGCGTTCCAGCTCACGAGAACGCACACGGGACCTGACTACAGTTCCACCTGAGCCATTCTGCTTCCTGAGGAAGGGGACTAGGGAGGCGTCGAAATCGGTGATGAGGTCGTTGGATATCTTTTGTAGCTTGATGTCCAAGTCGTCTTCTGGCGCATCCATGTTGATGACGCAGTCCACTCACCAAGTTTGATGGTCTTGGACTGAGTTGATGATTTCAAGTGAGATGGTTGATGCTTCACTCTAGAGGTACCTACCTCTCTACCTATGCCCAGGCCGTTGGAGTGCGGTGCCCGCCTGCCGTGGGACTGTGAGGACTGAGGGGAGACTGCCAAGGAAGACAGCTGATTGGCACCCGAGTGCTGCTGTACCCCGCTTCGACCAGGGGTAGTTCTTACCTCCAACGTCACTGCAAAACATTCCACTGCTCATCACCGAAGACTGAACAACATCGACGGAAGGAGCACTCAAGAACTTCAGTCATATCACGAAGGCAGAATGGACACACGCTTCGCTGTACCATCGAAATCTCTGCACCTGCCTCAACTGATCAAATGAAAAATCGGAGGCCGAAGGTCCTTCCGCTAGGCAGCAGCACCGCACCTTTTCGAAGGCCCCGTTTTCCGCTTTACGGCCATCTGGCACTGCTGTTCTGTTCTGTTCGTCAGTCGAGTGACAACCTCGAACCAACAACAAACAACTCCCTAGGACCTACTCACCACAGCCATTCAGACATCATGTTGGCCACAGCGTGGATCGACCGCGATACTGTCAACACTGTTTGATTCTCATTCAAGTACAATTTGTCCGATTTACCCCAATATTCGACCCAATCCCACCAGGAGAACAAACACCATTACCAGTTACCCCGAGCCGCCCGTATTCCATTCCACCAAGTATCACATTGCACCAACCACCATATCGTACAACCATTGAACTAACAAAGGAGCCAGAGCCATAGCCCAAACGGCATCGCGGAGACCCGAAGGAAAACGAGAAAAGGAAACCAAACAACGAGAATCGAAAACGCAACAAAGTGTCACTACTTCTTGCTCGCCGCCAACGCACCCACCAACACATCCATAGCCGAGCTGTGTGTTGCTGCCGTCGGCCCCTTGCCTGCGTCGGCTGGCCCTGCCCAGTTGATGCCCAGCTGGTTCTTGGAGTTGCGGTTGTGGGCCCAGATGGAGTCGGCATTCTTGAGGATGGCGTCCCGGAAGTTGTCGTGCGGCGCTACCTTGTGGAGGTAGGCCAGATTGCGCACAAAGATGCCCTTGAACTGGCTCCCGTCGTCGCCACAGTTGGGTTCGCACCGGTCGATCTCGCGGATGATGCCCTTATCATCCTGAAGCGCCTTGAGCGCCGCATTCGCAATCTTGACGGCGTCGGCGATGAAAGACTGGTCGCCCGTCGCCTTGGACAAGTCCACCAGGCCACCCAAGATCACGCCCTGGTTGTACGACCACGTCTGCATTCCGTTGTTGACGCAGCCACTGTCCGTTTGCTTCAGCCCGTCGTTGATGAGGTCCTTGTCGTTGATCATGCCGCTCTTCTTGAACCAGTTCCACACGTTGAGGGTCTGGCGTATCTGCGAGTCCTTCCTGTTGGCCACCCGGGTGGCCAGGCCGGCGCCTAGGGCGATGAACAGTTCGTTCGCAATGGCATTCTTATATGTCTTGTCCTTGCTCCACCAGACGCCTCCTCCGCATGTGTCATCGATGCCATTCTCCGCCATATCATCAAAGATGTGCTGCGCAGCGTCCAGCATATTGGCATCGCCTGTTATGTCCCATCCCCGGAGTAGGGCCAGTCCCCACCAGCCCTCGTCGTCAAAAAAGTTGTTGAGGAACTTGGGGAAGCCCTGTGCCTTTCGTTTTGATTTGTTTTTTGTCTCATACTTGTACGTCGCGACGATCTTTCCGTTGTCGAGCTTCTTGCTCGCCGTTGCGACCGTCTTTTGCGCATTGCTGAAGGTGTTCGCGTAGACGTCTCTGATCTTGACGGCATCACCGACCGCACTGTCTGCCAAAGCCAAGTCGCCCAAAACCGTGAGGCAGTTGGCGCTGTTCCACCAGCCCGTTGTTTTCCAGAGACCCGACGGTTGCTCATACCACTCTTGAAGCGCCTTGGCAGCGACTTGTGCGTTGTTGGTGTAGGCGCTGCTGTCCGCCTCTCGGGGCTGGTAGGATGTGAAAAAGAGAGCCCGGGTGGCGAGGGCACCCCATTGAATGGCTACCATTTTGATCAAAAGGGAGAATGGAAGGATAAAGATGGTCGGCGAGAAGCAAGTTTGCTGGATGATAGGTCCGGGTGTGGAAAGATCGGGGAGCACTCGATGGCATATATACCCTCCATGGTCACCACGAGAGCCAGATTTGTTGGAACGGGCGAGTGATGCATTGGACATCAGTGAATGGCGCGTGGATACCAAGCATGTCGTGCATCGTGCGTCGTTCCTCCCATGTGTCGCCTTCTTTGACGCCAGAGGGCCTTACCAGGCTGTCCAACCTCAACTAAAGAATCCGAGACTTAACCCGTCATCCCTAATATGCGAGCCGCACTATGGCAGAAGCGAATCACTGCCATCCTCCACCTGACCCATCGTCATGGACAAACCTGTCCCTTCAAAGATGGCAGAGCAGCAGCCCGTTAAGTCTGTAGCTCGCGACTGCAATACCTACTCGGCGATACTATGCCTGCCAGGAGGCGCAATGCAACCAGAGATACATATTCTCGATGATATCAGCGCGCAGCAGCTCATTGGGCGGTCACTACCGTCAACACTTCGGGGCAAGAGTTTGCTTTCGTGAACAGACGTCAAATCACTAACATCTTCTCGGTCATAGGCTGCCAAGTGTTTCAGATCAAAATTGGTTTCATGCCTGACCAAGCTCCAAATAGGGTTGGCACTTGAGTAAGCGACAAAGGAAGTTTGGAAGTTTGGCTGACCCCTAGCTTCGGCCCGCGGCTTGTGCTTATTGCACCGTCGCAGTCAGGGCGGCTTTGTTACAAAGCCTGAATGATCCCGAATATAACGCTCCGTTAATTGGCGTCCCAAAGCCCACAATGGGCCTATTCACCTAGTCAGGGTGAATAGAGAGCTCCGCGTCTTTGGGTCGCTTTTTCTTCGCCTCTTCGTTAACTGTTGTTGACGTGCGAAAGCGGCGTTTTTGGTCCAACGTGAAGCATCCCGAATTGGCAGCTCGGGTCATATCCAATGCTCCCTTTTCTGGTCAGAACACAGAGTGAGACAACAAGCACCACGTGAGTGTCCTGTCTGGTGTGTCTCACGGGAATATTCTTGGGATGTCTATTGTCCCACCACATGCCATTCTGGGTTATTATAGAACGGCATGTTCTCTTTTTGTCTCTATTCACATCTATTATCATCGGACTTTCTATATATCTGGCTTTCCAAGATCGAGGACCTTGCGGTATCGTCTATACGGCCGCTAATCAAGTGATCGAACTCATTCATACGCGGCACTATAAGTTGCGGCATCAAAATGCGGCTCCCGAAAAGCGACGGCAGTTGCTGAAGCAACCCGGGCAGTATCGCACAATCACGGATCGCAGTCTGCTCGGTAGGTGTTCGGACAACCCGGGAATTGGCGATTGGCCGAAATGGTCACCGTCGGCTCCAGTATGGACGCACAAATAGAGAGTGTCTCATTGTTCCTTTACCCATGACAAAGCCCCGAACAGAGTACGGAAGGTGATACAGAGCGATCCTGTCGTGATGCGGCGATACCATGTCCGGGCATCCCTTCTTCATTGTCGCATGGCTGTTGTCGGCGATCATAATGCCCGGATTTCTAAACGGGTTTGTCCGCCCTTAGATGCAGTCTGCCTCACTTCCGGAGGCTCAAATGGGTCATCCGGACGGGCCACAAGTCGAGAACCAATCGCCAGATTCGTAAAGTCTTCTCTCACATCTGATGCCGAAGTGTGGCTGACCGGGCAAGAGGCGGGAGTGGCTTCATTGTCAACGCGATGACGATAATGACGTTCAGGTACGGCATTGTTCGGTGGGAAAAATGAAGTTGTTCTATGGTACTATTTTCTGAGTAGTACTGCCCCAACCGCAAATCCGGACAAAATCCGATGGTGCACAGATATCAGGTCCTCGCTCGGTCCCGATATACTGAGATTCAGCCAAGAGCATCTTCTAGTATTCGTCTCTGTCTACGGAGCTGACCATCGAACCTATGTCCTCATTCGGCATGATTGGAGTCTTCTTATCCTATCAAGTTCGAAGGGCGATTTCGATGGGCCCTTGGCTTTCCAGCTTCTTTTGGGGTGGTCATTAGTTCGTCAACTCACCCCCAGTTCCAGCAAGGCGCTGGGTCAGGTGGGCCATATTCGGCGACGGTCCTTTCAAGCGACTTCACCTCCTCTATCGGAACCGCGAGTCATCTCACAAGCATGGAGCTATCACATGTAATCAGGGACGAGGACAAAGCTTCGGCACTCTTGGTGCTTCTCAATCGTCGCCAGCACGAGGGAATACATTTATCGTCGGGCCATTTTGATTTCAAAAGCCCAAGTATTCACCAAACCATCAACCGGGTCATCGATTCACAAGCCCCTTTGTCTAACCTGGCTTCGTCACGAGCCATTGACCCACCTCTTCCATCGGGTAACATGAGCGATGAAGGACGTCGGTCGGTAGTTGCTGTGCTCTCACCGTTCAGGGTGATCGCACCAACAAGTGATTCGATCTTGGCAATATCTGGGTTAGACGAGAAATACCTGCAAATGCCGGGATCGGGACGTTATTTCGAGTAACACAATCTGGGTCCACGGGAAATATAGTCCACACGATGCTCTTCTGTCTGGGCATGCTGTTTTGCGGAGAAAGTGTCAGCCAAGTGGCTAAGACATTGATTGGAAGGATCCATTTGAGACTTCAAAAAAACTACCCCAGCCTTCTAGATATGGGTAAGCGATGATAAGCTGATAAGTTCTACTCGTGTTTCTGAATGCAGATGTGAAGCCGCTGATGTCATTCAACTCCCTGCGTGGTAAACAAATGGCTTCAGGGGCTGAGACAGAGGGGTGTGGTTGCCTGGGCTATCGCGGTTGAACTCCGATTACAACTCCGAGTCCTTTAGGGTCTTGCGTTTTTGCTATTTCCCGCATGATCGCGAACAGGCCGCAATAGAGGAATGGTCATGAGCCGTCCGGGTATGGCGCTGAGGTTGTTGTCGTTCATGACGATCAAGAACCAGGTTCGCTTGCGCACATCATCTCACGCTCGAGAAGGGACAAGTTTCGAGAGGCTTTTTTTTTTGTTGTTGTTGTTATTTTTAACGTCTACTTCCGCCTCCCGTAGGGCATGAGACGTACCGCACCGGTAAGTCTAGCATACAAAATTAAGAGCAATGCCCTAACTGTCCACCAAAACCATTAATCCGAGGGCAAACCGAGGCCTATTGCCAGTGTAAATCATGTGTTGCCCATAGCGTAAACGCGGCCCAACACTTATAATCGAATCGCCCAGTGAGCGAGCCGCCAGTAAAGTGTCGAGAGGCGTTGGTTGAATGCAGGCCTATTTGCAAAGCGGCCTTGATGACTACCGAGTGCAAGGTCCAGAGCTGGGCTGATTGGGAAGAACCGTCACGATACTCGATCATGAGTCAAAGGAGTTGTACTGTTTCTAAACTGGAGAATATCAAGACCCATGGCATTACTAGGTCTTTTGCCCATTGGAAGTATCTTTCGGACGTTTTGGCTGATGTCTCGGAGAGACTAGAGGGAGAATCGGTCAGGTACACACTGGCAATGATCTTGTAAAGTACGGCCAGCCACACGCGGCGAGCGCCCATAAAGCCTTTCTTCCGCAGGTCATGGTAAGTGCTCATAAAGGTGTCTTGATGGATGACAGGGAAGCAAAGACCTATGGTGTTGAACCATTCGTGAATGAGATTGGTGGCTTCTGGCTTCGGAGGGACGTGATGGCCAGTTTGTGGTCTGGATCCGAGGTTGTTGACCCCGTCATTTGAAGGCCTCCGAAAGTGTTGAAGTGATGGATGCCTTGTTGAAGATGCATGTAGGGCTGCCGAGGTCGTTGGCATAGCTTGTGAGCTGAAGTTGAACTCGACTTAAGGCTAGAGAAACCTGGGGTACCAAGACCACGAGGGATGACGGACCAAAATATGTGCAATTCTCTTTGTCATCTGTCAGTTTAACTTCGCCCATGCCATCAACTTTGATATCTCCATGATGAGAACGTAGGAGGCCCTGTCAAGGTAGGCGGAGCCAGCAGTCCATTGCTAATGCTGTTGGACTCGCGGTCGTCATCCTGGGCATCGTCGTCGTCGCCATCATACTGGTTGGCATCTTCACTGCTCCTCTTTGCCCCCGTTGTTAGAGACGCGTTGGCATCGTTTATTCTGCCTTCAAGAGCACTCAACCTGGACAGAATGCCCGAAGGAGGAATGTCTGTGGTGCTTAACCTCGGGCGATGATGAGTCGGTGGCTCGTTATAGGCGCAGCACACGTCGAACTCTTTACATTGGCCGCAGATTGGACGTTGGCCATCGCACTGTTAGTATTTCTGGTGTAAGTTGTGAGTTGATCACATACCTCGAGCTCTATAACGTTTGAGAAGGACGTACCGGCAATTATGACAGGCAATGGAAACACGCACGCGTTTCCTTGGACGGACCTCTTCCATGAAATTGTGGATTCCTATACTTGACGACTTTCACAAATCAATGTATCGAAAGGTTTGGTGGTCGTTATGGTGATGACAACCCGAACTGGTGATGTTGATGAGGCATCGGTAAGAGTGTGGTGTTTTGCTGGTAAAGAATGGGGGATATAACTAATGATATGAAAGGTCTAACAGAGCAGTAACAGTTTCACCGTTGTACGTAGGGCAGAAGTTGTTAGTAATGCGCTAGTGTAGGTACTCCAGCACCAGCATTAGGATTGCTCGTCGGCCCGGCAATTCGTTTTCCAACACCCGACCTCACCGCATTCCGTTTCCATCGACACAACATCTCCAATTATCCAGACATCAAAGAGGCGCTGTCTGTTCATCAACATCCGACTTTTCGACGCCAGTTACCGTGCAGACCCGGCCTCAGCCTCACCCGCAACTTGACGAGGGCCACCTCTTTGGTCAAGTCCTTGACGTCCAACACGGCGAGCTCGCTGCATATTTCCTCGTAGTTGGCCAGCAGCACCATCACATACCCAGCGCCCTCCGCCGCCCCTTTACCGCGCGGGATGAAGATGCACTCCCCAGTGAGCTTGCCGGGCCTGGGAAGATACCGTTGAATGGCCGCATTCTCGTGATTCAAGTGGGCGATGCCATTGGACATGGGCGCGCCCCCTCCAGCGCGCGGCATGACGCTTTCGGAGTCGGTCACTCCGGGCTTGCACTCGAAGATGCAAAGGAAGGTGTGATTGTGCTGCCGCATTGCTACACGGTCGTCGATGCGCGGAAACTCCATGTCATTGTCGACAAAGTATGTTGGCTCTGCCAGCTGGAGCTCCTCAGTCTGGTAGTCGAGCACAAAGTGGGCAAAATTAGTTGTCCTTGGCTTAGGCCATCTGGAGCTGGATGTGTCCTTTATCGTCTTTCGAACGCGTTGGCAACATGGCCAGCGAATCCGTGCGGCGCCTCAAACCACTTGACATCGCTGCCCTGGCCCCCTCTGCGCGGCAAGACTCCGGTATACATCAGAGTGCTGTAGACCCACTGCCAATGGTCCCCGCCTTGCTTCATCCGCTCTACATCGCAAAGGAGGGGGGTGATGGGGAAATTCTCGGTGACGCCAAAGTCGTGGATCATGCCATACACCGGGCTCACCAGCCAGACTGTCTCAGCGATCTTGCCGTTGGGCCTAACACGGATGCTCTGGATCAGGTTTTGAGGCGGTCGAAGAGGACACTGGATCCGGAGGAAATCCTGGGGCAGGGGAAGTCGGGGATTTGGACGGTGCCTCCCGGACTTGGACCAAAGGTACGCTCAAAGGTCGAAGCAGATAGGCGCAATGCAAATGATTTCTGGCCCGTAGATCTCAGTTCGCAATAGCACAAGGCATCTTGACAAAGTTGCGAACCACTTCACAGCTTCGGCATCAACTAACCCGAGCTTCACATTTTCGTGTCCTCGTCAAGACGGGAAGACGGGCCCTTGCACGTAAGGCGATTATGCGACCTATGCAAGATAGATAAAGTCGCAACGCTTTCCAAACATCCCGTTCCCCCGTCGGCCGATAATGGATACCGGCCGTGTCGTTGTTTATGATGCAATGCAATTGCACGTACAGCTATCAGAGATCAAACGGTTTTCATTCCAAAGTAAAGAATAACATCGGTTGTGTCATACTCCAATACATACCTACCTCCGGACAGACAAAACCAAAAAGCCTCTTTTTTTTATAATCGAGTGTTACACAAGCGCCTACCCAGGCAAGCGATATGACCAAGGGCCGTTGAGGAGATCTCATCACAGAACTCCAACCTACCTCTAAGGATACACGAAGCGGATAGAAAGGCAAGGGTGTTTTCGACTCGTCTCGAATAAAAATTCCATCATGAGAGGTATCTTGATGGGACTAGGGTTGGTACCTGGTCGTTACAAAGTATGACGGAGAAAGCCGTTCCGGTCCATGTCGCTGCCTCGGCCCGAGGATGCCCCAAGAGAGTGTTTGATAAGTTGAGTTTTGACATTGAATGTGGATTGATGAGGAGAAAGAACAATGTATCGCCACAGATTAACAGACGGACAAGTCCCTTTTTTGTCGGTCGTTTCAGATTTTTGTTTGATCACTTCTAGGGCCATTGTTCGTGATGTACCGGCAGATGACTGGAGAACATTCCCAAGTTCGATTTCCCACACTCCTCATCCACACCCTCTTCTGCCAGAGCTCAGTTCCCGTTTCCAAAGTGACATTCTGGTGGGCTCATTGCGGTACTTACTGGATGCATGGAAGCCCCTCCTCGCTTTCAGTATGTGGGTAAGACTTCAAGATGAGGTGATGAACTGACGAGATAGCTATGTGCTGCCCCGCTCTGAGCTTCCGTTTACATCTTCTTGCATGTTTCATGAGTAAGAAGGAAGGAAGAATAGAGCAGAAAGAGATGAGTGTGATGAAGGGAAGAGAGGGGCCGCTGGAGAGCAATTTGAGTTGGTTGACAAGGGTACGGAGCTAACTCCGATCCGTTCTGCCCACGACATCTCGCTCGTCAGATCGATCACCCACTAGAAACACTTTAGTCCCACCCAGTTACTCAACTTGGAGGTTCTTGCAGGTTACTTTATGAGAGAAAGATGAGCGGATACTCGGACACCCCATCGGCCCAGATTTGTAGGTGTGAAGAGGCACACCATTTCCTACACTGAGATGGTTCCCAATCGAGCCAGGCACAGGTCTCCAGGTGTGTACTGTGTAAGTTGACAGTTCATCCCATCCATAATCCGATCTCCTCTATATATCGTCCTGCCAAAATCGCATAGAAGAGCATAATAACCCATAATATAACCAAAACAAGCTCCCAGCACCATTACTGACAGCAACGCCGTTATCTGTCACTGTCTCCGTTACCATGGTTCGGCTCCCACTGTTCCAACGTCGGTTATTTAGCGAAGTGATTCCACACCAACGTTACAGGCCTTAATCCCGGTATGCCATATGTCCACAATCCCCCCTTCCTCAGCCCATCTGACAGTTCGCGACCGAAGTTCCAGACCCGTAACACTAAACGCTCCAGTGATACGAGTACATAAGACTACTATAGGTAATGTCACAAGCCGTGGAGCTATCGTTGAGGTTGTTGATGTGGATGATGGTGAGTGGAGCAGTCCACACCTACCTGGTAGAACTAGAGCCCTCCCCACTAAAAGGTACTGTAATTTCCAGCAACATGTACAAGTACCGCACCATGTACCTGTACATGCCTCAACCGTGACCCTCATAGGTTCATTACATAAAAGGGGATCAAAAGCCGTTACGTCGTTGCGGTACCTGCCTGAGCGAGCTGCAGCACGGCACCACGCCCAATCCGTCTCTAGTCAGTATAAGCGGCTCCTATCATGAGCTTCAAAATTAGAAGCTTCTTTCCGATTTCAGCGGCTCGCAGTAACACCACTTCGAGTCCACGACACCACGACAGTGGGCAATGCAGGGATTGGAGGGCAGGCATTGCAAAACGGCGGCGTGGGTGCTGCGCTTCTAGCGCTATGCAAGCCAAAGCAGATCGGGATCTAGCGCCTAGCGTCATGATGAGCGCTGTAACAGGAAGCTTGATGTTGGACTACCTACAGAGCTACACTAGGAGACTAGGATCTTGCGAAACGTAGGGCGAACTTGAATTGGGATAGCAATTGTTGTCTTCTCGACAACCAGTCACTTTTGCTCTTCATATTCTCCATTATTGTCGAAAGACACAAGTTTACAAACGTAGCTCTTGCCTGATCCGTTCGGCGAATTCCATGTCGGTTGCTCTTGCTCTTGCTGTTGCTGTTGTTATCCCCTTTCTGTCCCCTCCCTTCCCCGTTCGGAAATCAGAGATTGCTGCGTAGCATGTGCTATGGACTCAAACTCGGTGAAAGAACTCGAGTTGCACAGGCAGCGGTCGGTGGAGGTCTAGCGAATCCGAAAGGAACGGCTTCGGAGGTATGCCATATGTGGCAAGTGGAAGAGGCATCAGCGATCACAAAGAGTTCGTCGGTTAGCGTTGAACAAAAGCGCTCCTCGGACGACAGAAAGCTTGAGACAAGGTTTGATACCTCGGTATGCCAGGCACGATGCTGTGGTGGGAGGTATCTTGCGAGCCCTGCGAGCTTTACCTTGGTAGCTCTAGCTAGGTACGGTACTTAGGTGAGCATGATAGGCGGGACGGTTGTTTCACTAGGTCGAACACTAACACTAACACCACGGAGTTACCGGATTCGTGCGCTAGACTACTATTCTGATATACGCTAACAGGAAGTACCGAGATGCCGCGGCGAAACGATTACTCAAATGAAGATCATGGGACGCGGGAAGCAAAGACACGATTGGAGGAGCGAGGAGTTTCTCTCCGTTTAAGTATTCCAAAGCACCTAATTTTCAAAGGTAATCCATCCATGTCTGAACATTACCCAAATGTTATGGGACGGTCTCGGTATCGTCAGTAAACTGTCAATACGGAAATTACTGAGAAGTATTCGTTGCTTCAGGGTGTTCGAGCAGATTGATATCGGTAATGACACTGTAACATACTGCTTCTCGTTTTTACTGCTTGCATTATTGGAAGAGTTTCTTTTGGCTCACCATGGCACAATTAGTTCATGACCCTCAATGGAAAGCAAACAACCAAGTCTAAAGTCCAGCACCGAGGAGGAACTCGAGTATCGGCCGTACATACCCGGGACAAGTAGTTTCATCAACACAGCACAACCTATTCCCAAACCGTCCCCCAAGCCAGACCAGACGGTCATCCCCGCAATTTTCATTCCTGACTACTCCAGATCGGACCCGACATTCTCCGGACCTCACATATACAGCAGAACAGGTAGGCGCACGGGGAAAAACGGAAAAAGACACAGCAGAAGCTTCCATATTTACTTCCATTCCTCTACCCACCGGCACTTGGGAAAACTGCCTACGCAACGCCGTGCAACGTTATCTCCCGCCGCGGCGGTCTGGGCTGGCTCGAGCTCTGCTTCCGCCTCTCTCGGTCCCGTCTCCCCATAATCCCAGTGCCGCTGTCCAGCGGAGGTTCCCCGCAGAATCGGGTCCGGGGGTGCTGGGGTGCGGCTTCCGATGTGTGGATTGATAGAGGTAAGTTGTTTGCCAAACTGTCAGGACCCGATCCGTCGAATATGGGGAAGGAAGCCGAGAGATATCGAATCTCAACCGTGACAGGCTGGGTGCGATAGATTACAGGACATTTCCAGACTTGAAAGTCACTCTCACATGTGCCCGAGGAGGATTGTACTTCTTCCGAAGAACGTACGGTGTCAAAGTTTGCTGCGCATGGGTGGATTGAAAGCAAAAAGAGCCACCATTATGGAGCGGAGGTAATAAAGGCATCAAGAGGTCATGAACCATACCGAAATCGTCAAGCTAGACGGAAGTCATCCAAAGAGAGGTACCTACCTAGATGTACTTCCTTCCCCCAAAGGTAAAGCTAGGTGGCACTAGTGGGCGAATGACTGCCGACCGACCTCAAGTTGCCTCTTGGGAAAGTACCATGCAGATAAAACACATGGTGTTTTTGCCATGTGATTTTTTTTTCTTTTTTTTTTTTTTTTTTTTTGGTTTTTCGTGCGAACATGGGAGCGGCTGTTTCTCGGTCTGGCTAGTTTCGGTTCTCTCTACAGTCGTGACAGTCTAGACTTTTGGCTTGAATCTGACCACCACTACGGTTCCGTTGATGGACCGAAGAGGACTGACTACCTATGGTATGAGCCACGGTCACCAGATACCAAGGTACGTACATAGTAGCACTCACCACTCAAGTTTTCTTCCGGTAGGTAGGACATAGACATTCAAAGATCACACACAAAAAGAAAGAAAAAACGTCTATACTTGCCTCCTATTCCCATTAAGCGTTGGTTGTCCAGCATGTATGTGTGCAAGGTAGCTGATCTGGAAGCGGTCTAGGTTTATTGTATCAAGTAAACAGCTAGAACTACCTGTCGAGTGGTAATGTCTGGTGTTCTACGTAACGTGTCTGCAATCTCGGCTACACTTTAATAAAAAGAAGCAAAAGCGTGCGTGCTACGTCACAGATGATCTAGGGCTGACAGTTCGTTACATGAACAGCCTTCGAGTTCCCTAATCCATCTCTGTGCAGCAT